AATGATGGAGAAAGGGGAGAGGGGAGGGGAAATATATAAAGAGATGAGTATAGGGGAAAAAAAACCTTTTTTATATTCTTCATCATCCTTTTTTTTTAAAACTTTACGTGTCCAAAATGTATGCATTTGTTGGAATCAAAAAAATTTTTTCTTTTTTTTTTTTTATTTATATTCCGACATTTTGAAAAATTTTTATATATATTTATTTATTTCATAACGTGCATAATTCATTCCTTTCGTAAATGAATGAATGAATGAATGATTTTCATAGAGTAAAAAATTTCATAAGCTTATAAATTTGGAAAAAATTAAAAAAAAATTTTTTTTTTTTTATGTTTTACCTACCTGACCTATTCGAGTGTGCGTGTGTGCGGGTGACATTTATAAATTATTTTCTAAAAGTCAAAAAGTGTCGAATCGATAAATTTTAATTTTTTTTTTTATCATTTTGAATTGGAAAAATTATTACTCAATGAAAGTGCATTAAGTGAAATTAGAAAGCAAAAAAAAAAAAAAATTATTAATTTTTAATTTCCTATTATTTCCGTTTGACCTTTTTTTTTTTTTATTTCTCCCTCCCCCCACCTTTCAATCTCTCCACCTTCCCTTCGCCTCCCATCTACCCTCCCCCCCGAAACGTTTTTTCATTTAACAAAACGAAAAATCCGTTTGAAATTTTACCAGATTTAAAAAAAAAAAAAAAAGAATAAAATAAAAATTTATGATTGTTGTAAATAAAGTTGTGTGGCATACATAAAGCGTCAGTTGTTTCTCGTTAAAAAATATTATTAGCGAATGTAACAGAGTGAATTTGCATAGGTTTTCATGGGAAACATTAAATAATGGGATAAAAAAAAGAGAGAGAGAGAGAGAGAGAGAGAAAGGAAGGATGAGATGAGTCGGAAGAGAGAAAAAAAAACAGATGAGGAAAAATAGAGAGAGAGAGAAAGAGAGAGTTGAAAGCATTGTAAAAACTTGCAATATAAAACATTTACGCTCCGGAAAAAAAAAAAAATGTTTTTCCTCCTTTCCCCCTTCCTCCTCCCCCCATTTTTTTTTTTTAAATAAGGTTCATTTTTTTTTTTTTTTTTTTTTTTGGAAAAGTGGATGCTAATAGCGGTTATTACGATTTTATTTTATTTTTTTTCGAACATGTGGCCGTTATAGATACTAGTATTATTATTATTATTATTTTCCCTCTCAACGAAACAAGCTTCGTGGTGAATATTTATCTGAATTTACCCTCCGGACACACTCTTTCTCTTCTCTCTCTCTCTCTCTCTATCTCTCAGCAACACGATTTTCTGCTAAAAAAAGGAACCTAAAAATATTTAAACATGTTTTTTTTTTTGCGTGTGTGTTAGAAAATGAAAAATTTTCTCGTCGTCGTTTCCGGTTTCGTTATTTTTCTGTAAATGATAAAGAATGTTTCATTCAGTGGGTAATAAATTTAAAATAGATAAAAAAAAGTTTTTTTTTTCCTTTTTTTTTTTTTTTTAAACGAATGAGAAAAAGAAAGAGAGAGAGAGAGATAAATTGGAAAATGAGAATGAAACAGGACACTAAGAAAATGAAAAAAAGAACAAAAAAAAAGAATGAATAAAAAATTGGCCGAAAAAATTAGCTGATTTATCTAAAGTTGAAGAAAGAAAGGAAAAAAAGGGGGGAAAAAAAAGAAAGAAAGAAAGAAAAAGTTTTTCTGGTGAAAATCTTTTGCAACTCAAAATGAAAGAGCGAGATTAATTTAGAAAAGTTGAAGAAGTGAAAAGCAAAAGGAAACTTTTCGATGTTCTTAACAGCAGCAGCAGCGTTTCTTCTCTAAGAGAGAGAAAAAAAGGGAAGAGAGAAAAAGGAAGGAAAAAAAAAAGAAATAAAAGGAGGATGAAAAAAATAGGGGGAAGATTGGGTGAAAGAAGCGAGATAATGAATGAGAGAAAGAGGAAAAAAAAAGTAGGGAGAAAACTAAAAAGATGCTGGAGAAATGAAAAAAGATGAGAAAGACAAAGTGAGAGAGAAAGAGATAAAAGAGAGGAAAAAAAAAGGGGGACGGAAAAAAAGAGAGAGAGAAGGAGAAAGAGAGAGAGTTAAAAAATGCAAATTACAGCTAAAATAAGAGTAATTTTGGTATAAAAAAAAAATTTTCTTTTTTTTTTTTTTTTTTTTTTTTTTACTTAATTTGGGGTTTTTAGGTAAATTTTAAAAAACTTTTTTTTTTTAATAAAAATAACGAATAAGTCTTGGAAATAAATAAAAAGATAAATTTAAATTTATAATAATAATAATAATAATAATGATTTTTTTTTGTTTGTTTACAGGTAAGTTTTTTCAAAAAAAAAAATTATAAAAATTTTTGAATTTTCCAAAAAATCACGTGATTGAAATGAGGTAAGAATCATTTTTGACACGTCATCAATTTTTTTTTCCAAATGGTTGTTGTTGTCGTCATCATCGTCGCGGTCGTTTATAAACAAAATTTTCTTTCGATTTCGTACAAAAAAAGGAATTTTTTTTTTTTTTAGTAAAATTTTCTTCTTATTTTTAAACAAAATGGCGACGAATCACAATTAAATCACAATTTATTTCCTTTAAGGATGAAAATCATTATTTAGGAAATTGATTTTTTTTATTTATTTTGCACGCATCCTCTTTTTTTTTCTTAAAAAATTTATTTTTAAAATATTTTTTAACAATCGAATAAATTTTCAAATGAATTCCATTTTGATGCCAAATAATTAATTTCAACGTCATGCCATCTTCGTTTAATGCCAGTCCCCGTATTCTACCATTTATTGATAAATTTAAAGTTTTTTTTATTTTACCATTTCCGAGGCATAATAATTTTACGTGACCGTTTTCGTTTCCCAAAAATACCTAATTAAAAATTAATATTTATAATAATAATAATTATTATTATTATTTAAATTTTTATTATTATTAATCTTTTATTACCACCTATACGATTGTTATTATTATTATTATTTTATTAAAACGAGTCTGCCAGATGTTACCGGAAATCGTTTAACCTCTTTTGCCTTACCCTTCCCTCCTTGAAATTAATTTCGGTTAAAAATATAAAATTTTTAAACAAAATAATAATAATAATAATAATAATAATAATAATAATAATAATAATAATAATAATAATAATAATAATAATAATAATTTCTCATTTATTTAAACGAACGACTGAATGAATGAATGAATGAATGAGTGAATAAACGACGATGGGGAAAAAAAAATTCTATTATGATGATAATAAATTTATTAAAATAGAAACTTAATTAAATGTAAAACGTTGATAATAATAACGAACGATAGCGAATGAAAAATATAACGCGAAATTAGTTAGATAATAAATAAAAAAAATGTCCTTATCGATAAGGAGTAGATTTATATATATATATATACATTCGTTTAAAAAAAAAAATCAATAACGATGATGATGATGATGTTGGAATAAAATTTAAGAATCGAATTTAAATTGATTTGCATTTAACGCGTACGGTAAAAAAAGTAGGAATGAAATTAATCCGTTGATGATAACAGTTAATGATAACGAGACGTATATGTTAATAAATAAATACGAGAAAAAAAAAAATTTAAAAATGGCGGAAAAGCAGGGAAAAAAAAAAGTTAAAATGTTGAGAAAAAAAAAACTAACCCGAAAACAAATAATATTTTGTTTTAAGGGTTAGTATAAGAAAAATAAGAGAGAGAGAGGAAGAGAGAGTCGAGTAGTGGGAGGAGTGGGTGTCGGTCACTGACCTTTTCTCGTTTCAAATTCTAGTAAATAAACAAAGTCGGCCATTTTGAATTTTGTTTTTGTTGTTGTTTTTGTCGTCGTCATTGTCGTTGTCGTCGTCTCTTATCGTAATGGAAAATCGGTAATCATCGTTTATTTTCGGAATAATGATAATAATAATAATAATAATTTAAGAGATGACAAATTTCAAACGATTAAAATTCGTAATAATAATAATAATAATTTAAATTTTATTATTTTTATTTATTTTTTCTTTTGTTCTCATTCGATAAATAATTAATCATCGTCGTAATTTTTTTTTTGTTTTTTTATTAATTAATAGTTTTTTAGTTTTAAAAATGGAGGGTTTTCTCCCCCCTTTACCAACTACCCCTTTACTAAATTTTAGACGAATTTAATGATTAATAATAATAATAATGATAATATAAGTAATCGCGATGGCATTTTTAATTTAAAAAAAAAAAAAATTTTTATGTAAAAAATAAAATTAATTAGAAAAGGATATCAATGACAAGTAAAAAAAAAATCTCATTCAAAATCCTAAAGAGAGAGAAAAAAAAGAGAGATAGATAGATAGATAGAGAGAGAGAGAGTAAACTTCAATAAAACCGCTTGGAGCTGTCATGATAATGCTTGGAAACAAAAAAAAAGTAAGAAGTAAAATTTCTTTCACTTCCCTTCAATTTTCTTTTTTTTTTTTTTTTTTTTTTCATTTACCGTCGGGAGCCCGAAATTCATCTTCATGTTTAAAAAAAAAAAAAAAAAAAAAAAGGCTTTTTCATTAACCATCTTTTTTTTTTTCCTTCTTCTTCTTATTCTTCCCCTTCACCATTTTTTTTTTTTTTTTTTTAATACCCCGCGAGAGTTTTAAATTATTTGAATTCCACATTTTTTCTTTCCTTTCTCTCTCTCCCTCCCTCTCCCCCTCTCTTTCTCTTCTTTTTCTTTTTAATTTTAATTTTCATTGGGATGTTTCAAAAGGGTTTAAATACGTTTCAAATAAAAAAATTATAAGTTGCCATCATCTTTGTCGTGACTTTTTTTTTTTTTTTAATAAAATTTATCTTTACTCTCCCCTAATTAAATTTTTCTTTATTATTATTATTATTAATATTAAACCGATTTCTTTTTATATATATAAACGTTTATAAAAATTTTCACGAGAAAAATACATATATATATAAAAGAAAAAATAAGGGAGAGTAATAAAATGTTTTTTTTTTTACCCTTCGGTTTATTACCTAATAAAATATATATATATATATATATAAAAATTAATCGTGAGTAGTAGTGGTAGTAGTAGTGGCAGTACCTGATTTTGATATAAAAAAAGGGATGTAATTGGTTCGCCGACACGGATGGTGTAAAATAAATTTATATCGAATGAATCGCATCCCAATTGGACCAAATCCCAAATTCGAATCAACCCGAAAATCGACGCGGTTATTAAATAATTTTTATCCGATGCCAAATGCGTTACTTCTTCATTTTCCCCATATATTTTATAATTTTTTTCGAATAATTTTTTTTCAAAGTTTATAAATATCAAACGACCGTTTCTCGTACCTGAAAAAAATAATAATCCATAGCATTATTATTATTATTTAAAGGGAATGAAATGGGATGTCGAAAAAAAAAGGGGGATTTTACCTCCAATGCAATAAATTTTAGGTTCGTTTAATAAATAAATAGATGAAATTTGTAAAAAAGATTGTTTTAAATCGAAGCAATATAAGGAAACTCCAGACCAAATAGAATAATATCTTATCACGTTATCAATAGACATTGATAATAGATTCGATGACGTAGTTATTAAATATTTTATAGATTGTACGTGTCCGGTAAAATTTGTAAATTTTTTATTCGTTCTCATTATTTTACACGTTATGCTACCATTTTTGCATCCGACCACGATGTGGATTCTATCTTCGTGTAGTGAAAGACACGTTATCATTGAATCGAAACCGAAAACTGTAAAATTTAATCTTGCTCCTGTGACGTAGATGATAAAAAAAAAAAAAAAAAGGGGAGGAAAAAAAATTGAAGAGATGAGTACGAATGAGAAAATTGAGTTTTTTTTTTTTTTTTGGCAAAATATCAGAGAGAAAAAAAGGTTTTCAAATTTTTGAAAAAGTCTCGAGACGGGGTTACAGAATAATTTTTTTTTTGAAAAACTTTTTATGTATATTCGTGGGAGAAGAATAAAAATATTATAAAATTTTAATTTAAATTAGTCAAAACCACCAAAAAAAGTAATTTATTATGAGTGTTTAAATTTTTTCTCTTTCTCTTTCTCTCTCTCTCTCTCTCTGTCTGTCTCCCTCTCTCTTATATTTCTACATAAAAAAAAATCTCTATAACCCTTTCTCTCTTTCTCTCTCTCTCCAGCTGAGAATTCTCTTAAATCTTTTCACCCTTAAAACAAATAATAATAATAATAATAATAATTTATCGAATTCTTCTTTCTACAAACCTGTTCGCATTGAATAAAAAACCACAACATTACTTTCTGTCGAACACGCCATGACCTCCATTTTTTTATCCCAACAGCAAACACAATCTTTAAAAATTGAACTGTCAACTTTTACCGTTTGACAATTTTTCGTTAAAATATTTTCTAAAGTTTTCATGGAATCTTTTAAAACGAACTGAAATGAAAAACAAAAAAAAAAAGATGAAATTTATATATATACGATTCGACCTTAATTAACAAAAAACTATTATTATTATAAAAATTCTTTTTCTTTTTTTTTTTTTTTTTGGGGGGGGGGATTTTCCCACAACAAAATCAACACGGTTCCAAAGGCAGAAAAACAAACTTGTTGATATTATTATTATTATTATTATTATTTGTTTGGTAAAAGTTTTGTTGATTTTTTCTATTTATCAGTTGAACAATTTCAATATTTTTTTTTCTTTTTTGGTTAAAAAAAAAAAAGTCGAAAGAAAACAAAAAAAAAAAAAATTTTTTTTTTTTTTGTTTTTTATTTGGGGAGTTATTTAAAAATTTTTTAAATAATTTTTTTATTCAATAATAACCGTTAAAAAATTTAAAGCGCTATAAAAAAAGAAAAAAATTACGAATTCGTCCGTCGTCGTCGTTTTTTTTTTAAATTAAATGTAATTTTTTAAAAAATTATTTTCAGTTTGTTCGAATCGCGTTGAGAAAAAACTAAAAAATTCATTCAGTTTCATTCATTCATTCATTCATTCTCTCATTCGTTCGTTTCATTCTCGATTTTAATTTTTACATTTATTTTTTAATTTTTAAATTTTAATTCTTGTAAATAAATCGTGACAATTTTTAACCGCACCATGTGCACAATTTATTTTCTATCGCAATCAATTATTATTATTATTATTATTATTATTATTATTATTATTATTATTATTATTTGTTATCGATTTTAAATAATTTTAAACCGAAAATGGTCGATTACATTGAAATCTGACATTTTCACGTTTTTTCAAAAATTCATTTTGGACAAAACGAATTTAATTGAAAAAAAAAAAAAAAGTTTCTCGAATTTTCGATTAATTCGAATGGAAAAAATCAAAACGAAATTGCAAAAATTTTTTTTTTTTATTTTTATTCTTTTCCTTTTCCCTTCGCCCCCATTCCCTCTCTCTCTGTACGATCCTTCAGCACGGCAAAAAAAAAAAAAAAAAACGTGTAAAAAAAAATGGCCGACAGCAGAATAATAATAAAAAAAAGAGAAAGTTTTTTTTTTTTTTTTTTTTTTTTTTAGAGAACAACTGGTCGTGACAGTTACATAATAATAATTAAATCAATGTATAATAACTTTTTTTCTAAATTAAAATCGGTTAATGAAGAAAAGCAGATGACAGTGGCGCGCGGTATACATTTGCGGTCATCATTTATTATTGTATATAAAATTTATTGCGAAAATTTTTTTTTCCCGCCCCTTTTTTCCCCCTCCCACTCGCGTCGCCATACTCCTCCTCTTTTCTTTTCCCCGTCTACCTCTCTTTCTTACCTTTTCCCTGCCCTTTCTTTTCCCCTTCCACTCGCGTTGTCATTTTCCTCCCTCCTCCCCTTTCTCCTCTGTCTCCCCACTCACTCTCTCTGTCCCACGTGACAAAATTAATTTCTCACCTCGGACAAATTATTAATACGTAAAAATCCTTTGATTCCAAGTTCTTTGAAACTTTTTAAAAATTCTTCGTTATCATCGTCTTGGGTCGTGCCTCCGTCGTCGCCACCGCCATTATTACCCCCGTCACCGCTCCCACCGTCATTTCCTTTATCACCTTTCCCTATTAAATATTCTTGATTGGTAGCGATTATTTTATTGATTTTAGCATTAATTGCTCTTCTACCGGATTTTTCATTAATTGAATCGTCAATCATTTTAACCCAATATTTTCCGACTTTCTTTAAATTCGTCAAAAGTTTTTCATCAACGACGTGGCACATTATCCTACGATTTAAATATATCGGCATGATTTGTAAATAATCAACAACTTCTGACACGCCATCATTTTTTTTTATTTTTCCCTCGCTCGACGATATTATCCCTTTTGATTTTTTATATTTTTTCAAATTGTTTTCCCTTTTCGATAATTGCATTAATTTTTTTTTTGTATATTCGTTAATGACCCCGTCACTTTCTCCATCGTTTTCTATCGTTCCCGTTTCTTCCTCGGTATTGTTTTCGTTTTTACTGCTTTTCCGATTCGATGATGCATTTTCGCGATCTTCGTATTCGGATAGCACGACGCGATTCTCTCGTTTTCTTTTATTGTAAACGGATAACAAAGATTTACATAACATGTACAACAGTCCTCCTCCGGATATTTTTAATAATTTCAATATGGCGGATACTTGTCGATCGGGTGTCAATTTTGAAAACCATATGAAATCCTCTCGAACCAAAGCATTTAGAACATCGCATGAAAAACATCTGTTGTCATCTTTCGGTATTCTATCGTAAGAAAATTCCGTGTAATCAGTCGTGAGGGATTCTTCCACGTCTTTCGATATAATCGATTCAATCGATTTCAAAACGTTTTCCAATACGTAGCATCCGGTCGTGGATGTGCAAAGACTTTCTAAAAAAAGATATTTATTGATCCACGAACATCTCATGAACCTGTAAAATGATTATTTTCGTCGTTTGTAACGATGAAATTAAGGACTGATAATAATAATAGTAATAATAATGATAATAATTGGATATTTACATGAGTTATTCGGCATACCATTCTTGTGTTTCATTCATTTTCAAATTCCATTCTCGATCGTGTTCAGATATTTTTTTTTTTTGTCCAGGAACCCCTTCGTAAATCGATTTACGAACTGCATCGAAATTTATTATTTTATTTTGTTTCGATAGTAAATCTTCAGAGCTTTCTAAATCATTTTCTAAAATTTTTTTTTTTTTGTTTTTACTCATTTTTTACACTGGTGGTATCGGCGGCGGTTTCGCACTAAAGCGCAATTAAAATTAATAAAAAAAATTTATTTTATTCTTTCTTATTAATTAATTAATTAAATAATTAATTTTTGTTTTTTTAGTCTGTTTACAATTTATGTAAATAAAAATTTTAAAGAAAAAAAAAATGGCGGATCATCGTCGGCCATGTTTTTCGTCGTTATTTTTTTTTCACGTTTGAATTTTTTAAGGTTTTCCCAGTATAAAAAAAAAAAATATTGTGATGAATTAATAATTTTTTGTCGGGTAAATAGAAACTAAAAAAAAAAAAAGAAACTTGTAATTCAATTGATTAATGGAGTAAAAAAAACATTTTCTTTTCTTTTCTTTTCTGAACGCGTGTTTATTTATGAAACGAGTAAATTTTGTTTGTCTTTGTTTTTATGCGTGTGATTACGAAAAAAAGAAAAAAAAAATTTTTTTTTTTTTTTTCGTTCCATAATTAACTTTTTTTTAACACGCAATTTTTCGTTTGTAGACTTTTATGTTAGGAAAAAAAAAAAGAAAATTTATTTCACACCCTAATTTTTTATATAAAAAAATCATGTATGAATTTTAATATTGTCGTAGTTTGCTGCCGTTGTTGTTGTTGTTTTCACAAATTAATATTAACGTAATGTAATGTCGTAATAAATTAATATGGCTATTAAATAATTAAAACGTGTAAAGATGAATAGATATTAATATTATTATTATTATTTGACGTCATTTTTAATTATTAAAAGGTATTGTTTTTAATTTAATTGATTTTCTTACGTTTTCTTTTTCCACGAAAATATTTTTTATTAACCGTTTTGTTTAGGGCCTCCATTGAAAATTATTAATATTTGCACTGTAATTTCCTTTCTTTTTGATAACGGAAAATTTTTTTTATCTATAACGATGAGACTATTATTATTATTTATACAACAACAAAAAAAAACGTGGAAGAAGCTTTTCTCTTCTCTTCGTTTTAAGGGGGGGGAAGTAGGGATTTTTCCCTGATTTGATAGTTTTTATCTATTTGTCCCCGTTTCAATATTATAAAAAAAAGAGTAAATTTTTTAAATAAAATTTTTTGGTTGGTTTTTTCAAATTTCAAACTCGTGATTGCAAGTAAATTTAATGGTGGACACTCCCAACGGCACGATAATAAAACAAATCCTCGAGGTCGCATTTTAGAAAACAATAACTGACTGAATAACCGAAATAAAAAAGCAGGATAAACGTTTAGAGTGTGTGCTATCGTTCCAAAGGTATAAGAATTTAAAAAACAATAGATTTTATTATTATTATTTAAACAACGGCCTACCCTATATGTTGCAAGGAGTGTCTAGAAAGTTCCACTACCGATAGAACAACAATCATTTAAATTCGCGTATTGTGAAACAATAATAATAATATTTCCGAGAAAGGTTGACGAAAAAAAAATTAAAAATTTTCAATACGAGGACAACATTTTTAGTTATTACAATTTGAATTCAATTAATATAAACAAACATTTTATCAGTTTTTTTTTAAAAAAAAAAACAAATTATTTAAAACAAATTTACAACGCGCGCGCACACACACATTGTGTAACCGTTACGAAAACAAAAGATTTAAGCTTTAATGTAAGAATAAATCTTAGGATCATTCGTCCTTTGACCTCTTTTTTGATATAGAGAGAGAAAAAGTCTTGTAAATTTAAGAATTGTAAATTTATCCCAATCAAAATGACCTTAACTTTTAAAATATGGTTTAAAATTTAATTAAATTTCAAATTTTCAATCGGTTATAAAAAGTCAGGTACAAACAAGTACAGGCAGCTAACAGGCGACGATAAGAGAAATCAATAAAATCGAACCTCACGATTTTATAAAAAATTTCTAACAAAATATTATGTAAAATTAATATTATTATTATCGTGAGCGAACCCAGGGAAAACTCGTAAATATTATAAAAAAAATTTTCGTAACGAATTCGATGATGTTGAGGGGGAAAAAAAGGGAAAATAAAACCGGAATTTAAAATTTTCAACGTGAAATTTGAAAATAAAATACATTTAGAATCAAAATTAAATTTCTTAGAATTACCACACAAATATCTCACGACTTGAAAAAAACATTATTAAAAACAACAACGCAAGCAACATATTTCGTATCGAAACAACAACAACAACCGTGAAACGAAAACACAAAATTTGTTAAAATAAAAATTCGAAATCTAATCATGAACAACAACAGCAACCCGATTAGTGGGAATTAAAAAAAAAAAAAAAAAAAAATAGAAAAAATTTATTTCGAAACATTTACTCGGATTTATAAAAAACTTTGTGTGTTTCGCCACAACATTAACATAATATAATGTTATCATCAACTCAAACAACATCCGACAAAATCATTCTCGAACTTATATAATCCTCACAATTTCTCACCGGGCACGAAACTTTTACCCAATATTTACATCTTATAAATTTACTTCTTTCCCTCTTGGAAAATATATTTAAATTTTAACCCTTCCCTTCCTCCCTTTCTCCCTCTTCCTCTTCCCTTTCTCCCACCCAAAAAAAAAAAAATTCTCGTTAAACCAACTCCTTCGATGCCATCCAAAAAAACCCGAAAAATCTTAACCGCCACTTCTTCTTCTTCTTCTTCATCTCTCAAACGAAAAAAAAAAAAAAAAAAATTTCGTCGCAAGTATCATCGTAGAAAAAGAGGGGAAAAAGAAAACATAAGAAGAACCATTTTAACATTATAAAACTGTTAAACGAAAAATTCTTCTTATTTTAATCGATGAAAAAAAAATTTTTTTTTTTAAAATCAAACCGAGTTTTATTTTCTCTATGACGTTCGATCGTATTTAAATGGTTTATATTTTAAATTTATTGGTTGTTTGTGTGGAAAAAACGAAAATTGTGGTGGCGACAATGTCCAGTACGTGTTTTTTTTTTATCTCCATTAAAAATTTAACGAGTTATCAATAAATTTTCATCGTGGATCTCCGGAAAATAAAATAATTTTTATTTAATTAATAAATATCGACAAATTAAATGCGCGAATAATGTCGGCGAGTTCTTCCTGCCTTCCGCATCCGATAACGAATCCGAGACAAATTATTATTATTATTATTATAGGTTTTACGTAAAAGAAAACTCATGAGGGAAACGCATTTATTTACACACAAAATAAGAAAATTTGTTTTTTAATAGAATAATTAATTATTAATGCATTGATTTTTTTTTTCTGGAAAAAAATGTTAATTTACCCTTGACCTTTTTTTTTTCTCCCACTTCATCCCTTCCCACTTTTATCTCTAGGTCTTATATATATCTATTAATTTAATTTTTTGTGAGATTTTCTTTTTTTCCTCCTGTAAATAAGATTTTTTTTTCTCTTCCTTTTCCTCTTTCTTTTTTTTTTTTTATTTGAAAACGTCAAAAAATTTATCATTGTGTCAAAAGTAAAGGTAAAAAAAAAAAAAAAAAAATTCACGTCAATTTATTTTTTTTCCTCCCCTTTTCTCGTTTTTTTTTTCCAATCCCCCCCACCATTTTTTCCAAGAGGAATTTTTTTTTTTTTTTTTTTTTTTAATAAGAAAATTAAATTTCCATCCGTCGCATGCATAATTCGATGTCATTTTTCCATCAAAAAAAAAAAAAAAATTAATAATCAAATATTAAATAATTACCACCGGATGTTCCTGTTGGATGCGACTGGAATGACCGTTTACACGAATTTAAAAAAAAAAAAAATTTTTTTTTTTTTCGTTTCGTAAAAAAATTAACGATCGTAATTGATTTCAAATGAATCAAAAGGTTCTTTTAAGAATGTTTTTTTTTTTTAAAAAAACGGGAGGGAAAAAAAACAAAAAAAAATTATTTATTTCCCTCATTCTAAGATGAATTTTGTTTAAATTGTTTATAAGCTCATAATTTATATATTTTAAAAAAAAAAAAAAAGAAGAGTAAAAAAAAAGGGAACCGAGGAGGAAAAACGATTTCTCCTCCTTTTCCAAAGCACGTGTAAAAATCAATACAAAATACGATTTGATGGTTGCTAAGGAAACTATTCAGAAAAAAAAAGAAAAAAAAAAAAAAGTGAAAACTCGTAAATGTTGATTTTTATATTTTTTTAAGTAGGCGCGATAATGATTTATGATTTTTTACTTTTACCCTTTTTTTTAACCTTTTTTTCCGGGAAGAGGAGGGAGTACGGGACGGGGGGTACGGGAAAAATGAGAAGGAAATTTTGTGTCGTAAGAGAGAGGAAAAAGGCCGATATTATACGTGACGAAATGATTTTAAACGCAACGACGACGACTTTAAATAAAATATGACGTGGGAATAGAATAATAAAAAATTAAATAGAAAGTGGGAAAAATTGAAAATTTAAAAAAAACCGGCGTATAATTAAATTTCCCACGATGCGCGTTTTAATTATTATTTTCTATTATGTATTAGGTATGTGAAAAAATTGTTGTTTTCGTACCT